GAAAGAAAGAAAGAAAGAAAGAAAGAAAGAAAGAAAGAAAGAAAGAAAGGGAGAAGAGAAAGGAGGAGGAAGAAAAAGGAGGAGACGAAAAAAGGGATAAAAGAAAGTGAAAGAAGGAAGGAGAAATGTAAGAAATCTCTTTCATATTAATTATAGAAGCTATTCCCAGTGGTATTTGTCCTTTTGAGGTTCCTTTCCATTTCTCTCAAAGAAGATTACCTTATCTTTTATTTATCCAAGATCACAATTATCTCAAAATCATCTATCATTGCAGAACCACCACCACTCCAGGGCTGGGGATTAAACCCAGGGGCTTTTGTATTCTAGGCAGGCATTCTACCACTGAACTATGCCCCCAGCACTATCCTTTACATGTTTATCTATACCCTCATACATTTCTTTTTCTTTTCTATTTTGAGAAAATATCTTCTGTTTTCAACACTCACATCTCTACTTTTGCTCTTTCTGCTTCCCTCTAACCTTTGTTCCTCCGATTAACACTACTTTAGCAATTTCAGCCTCTCTGGGGCTCCCATTTCTCCATGGTCCCATTTCCCTCTTGAATATCACAATAATAGTTTTCCCTAGCATGGTACTATGAAAAGCAGGGATTTGCAATCAGTATTCTGTTTCTTAGTTTATTAGTTCTGTGATCTTGGCCTAGTTATTTACTTTCTCTGAGATTATACACCACCATGTATATAAAGCACTTAGTATAGGCCTTAGCATATCACAGGCCATCAAATTACTGCTCCATTCTTTTCAATGTTTAAATTAATTACATTTTAAAAAATCACCTATACTGCTTCTATTTCCCTGTCCTAGTTTCATTTTGTAACTTGTCTTCAGAATAGGAGCCAGAGTTAACAGAATACTACCTCAGATGTACAGCAAAAGATATTCTGATACTTCAAATTTTGAGAAAAGGAAGTAGAGGAAGGCCAATATGGTAAGCTGTGCCTTCTATCCCTGGGTCTCTTGGTAGGTCTTCGTTAGCTGTCCCAGGAATGCTTTCAGAGTTTTGTGTTTGTTTGCTTTTTATAGTATTAGGAATTGAACCCAGAAGTGCTCTACCACTGAACTACATCCCCAGCCTTTTTATTTTTTATTTTAAGTTTTTGGTACTAGAGATTAAATCCAGAAGTGATAAACCACTGAGCTACATCGATAGCCCTTTTAATTTTTTATTTTGAGGAAGGCTCTCACTAAGTTGCTGAAACTGGTCTTGAACTTGTGATCCTTTTGTGTCAGTCTTCCAAGTCACTGGGATTATAGTATGCCTGGCTCTATCTTATGTCTTTATATACAACCCACATTTTGAGAAGTTCCAATTGTTTTTCTAGCACAGACCCCTGCACTGAATTCCAACTTGTTTTATTCAATTGCTTGCTCAACTTTTCCACTTGAATTTTAATAGGAATTTCAAAATCATCATGTCCAGAAATGAACTCTGGATTTGTCCTTTAACTTCAAATCTACTTCTCTCTCAGCCTTCGTAATCTCTGTTCATCTCTGTATCCTTCCTTTTCAGATAAACAACAACAGTATCTCTGGCATAATTCTTAACTTACTCTTACATTCCAAATCCTATAGTAAAACAAATTCTGTCAAAGTCTACTTTTAAAAATATATCTAGAATCCAATCACATCTTATTACTTCCACTCTACTATCCTAGTTCGTTTCACCAATATCTCTTGCCTAGATTATGACTATACCTTTATCCTCCTAAAATGGTTTCTGTAATTCTACCTTTGACCTATATATCTTTCCACCCCCACCACAGAACTTTCTCCATATAGCAGCCAGAGTGATTATTTTAAAATTTAAGTCAAATTGTATCTCTTTTCTGCTCAAAACCCTCCAATGATGTGCCATCTCTGAATAAAATCCAGTCTTTATAATGGTCTACAAGTCACTACATGATATAATTTCCTTGTAAGTATTTTTCAACTATCCCCCAGCAAAGCCTATCTCTACCATGACAAGCATACTTTAAGACTTATCCATGTATCCAGGCATGGTGGTTCATGCCTGTTATCCTTGCATCTCAGGAGGCTGAAGCAGGAGGATCACAAGTTCAAGGCCAGCCTCAGCAACTTAGCAAGATCCTAAGCAACTTAGCAAAACCCTGTCTCAAAATAAATAAGGACTAGGGACTTGGTTCAGTGTTAAGTGTCCTTGGGTCAATCCCCAGTAGTTTAAAAAAAAAAAAAAGACATATCCATGTACTATTTCCACTGCCTGAATGCACTAAATGTCTACTATAAAAATGTCCACTTACCTGAAAACCTTTCCTAACCCATTTATTAAAAATAGCAATCCTCAGTTCCTTCACTATTCCTTTTCTCTGCTCTATTTTTGTTGTTTTTAAAAGAATTTATCACCATCTAACATTTTTATTGATTTTTTTATCATGTTTCTCTGTAATACTAGAATTTACATAAGAGCAGCAATCTTCTGTGCTTTGTTCACTGCTATATTCCCAATATCTAAAACAGTACATACTACCAAAAGGTATTTAGTAAATACCTGCTGAATGATCTCTTTTAAGTCTTTTAACTCTCAGAGTGTCTTCATCACATTACTCTTTCAAACTTCAAATCCCTAGTGCTGAGCCCAGAACAGACTACTCAGTAAAGAGCTGTCCATTGCCTTTTCCTTCTTTATAAATCTTATCTGTCATCATTTCCATTAAATTCTTACATAAAACATGCCTCATCCTTTCTAGTCACATTTTCATGATGCTATTCAAATTTATCTCTTTCTGCCACATATTTCTTTCTTCTCTACCTTATACCCTAATGCTAAGTTACACTTGTTTTATTATCTATTTCACACTTTTTATTTTAAGGTTTCATAACTTTTGCTCTATTGACATGCGGGTCTCATAATTCATTGTTGTCTGGGATTTTTCTGTGTGTTAAGATGCTCCACATCATTCCCTGCCCCCTACCTACTGTGTGCCCACAACCTGTAAGCCCAATTACTTACGAGGCTGAGGCAGGAGGATTGCAATTTCAAGGCCAGCCCCAGGAACTTAGTGACAGGTTATGACAACCAAAAATTTCCCAAGATATTACCAAATACCCTCTGGAGCATAAAATTACCACTGGTTGAGAATCTCAGTCTTATATCATCATTAAAAGAAAACAAAAACCACTCTGGAGACTGAGGCAGGAGGACTACAAATTCAAGGCCAGCCTCAGCAACTTAGTGAGAACTTGTCTCAAAACAAGTAAGAGCTAAATAATTTGGTTCTCTTTTATCTCTTTTTTTAATTATTTTTTTAGTAATAAATCTCACTTAGACTCAAGGAGAAAAGGTTTAGAGCCTATCCTCTGTCCTACATAAGAAAAATCTAAATTTAGAGACAGATAGTCAATATCCTTAATTATCTCAACTCTTTCACTCACAACTCACCTTTCCAACATAATTGGGCTTTTTACTATTCAGAGAAACAAGGATCCCTCACCTTGCCCTTCTCTCCTAATTTTTCATTCTGTTCCTATATCTCATTCTTCAGGCATGGTGATTTTTATTTCTCCATCTTTTCATGTTATAATGGAGAATCAGAGCAGTGGCTATATTTACAAAACCATATGACAATTTCTTAATTATTACAAGTTTTGTTTTTTTTAATTATTCAATAACATTAATTGTACAAATAAGTAGATTCACTATGATATTTCCACACATGCATATATCATGCTTAAACCACATTTTTTATTTATTTTGTATGGAACACCTCTTTCAAGAGGCTGCTTTCTACCTTGCTACCTAACAGCTTCTCCCTCTACTCTTTAATACTCTCTCTATATTAGAAGTCTTGTTTCTAAGTTGAGCAGTATGTTCATCAAATAGAAATTTTTAGTTAAGTACAGAACATAGAAATATAAAAACGCTCTACAGAAAAGGCATAAATAAACTAAGATGACATTAACCAATTTTCCATGAAATTCATATCACTTTCTGATGCACCAAAGTGTCAAGATGCTTTGTGAAACAATGCCACACTTCACTTTGATCTAGAATACATATTTTGGGGTTTTTTGTTTTTTTTTTTTGGTACTGGGGGTTGAACCCAGAGGTGCTATACCATGAGTTACATCCCCAGAACTTTTAATTTTTTATTTTAAGACCATGTCTTGTTATATTGCCCAGTTTGGCTTGAATTTGTCATCCTCTTGCCTCAGCCTCCCAAATAGCTGAGCTTACAGGTATTTGCCTGCAACCAGCACAATTTACCTTTTCTCAAACAAAAATCACATCTTTTTTCTTACCTGATAACCTGGTTCATTTAGCTCTTTCTCTAAATCTTCCAGCACATTCACCACCTCCTCTCCACTCTCTGGATGCTGCTCTTGTACCCAGGCTTGAAGTTCCTCAGGTAGGATGGTCAGGAACTGCTCCAGCACCAGCAGCTCCAGGATCTGTTCTTTGGTGTGAGTCTCTGGCCTCAGCCATTGATGGCAAAGCTCCCAGAGTCGGCTCAAAGCTTCCCGAGGTCCAGATGTTTCCTGGTAGCAGAACTGCCTGAAGTATTGTCGAAAGACCTCTCTGCTATGAGTGTTGTTCTTTTGAAGGCTCTCATCCTGTCTGGAGGTATATTTATTCTCTTCCTCCTCCTGGTCCTCTATCTTTACTTCCAGAAGTTCTTCCTGGTCCTTTTTGGCCTGGATATTCCAAGTAGATGACATTATAGCTGTGCAAAAGCTCTATCAGTAAGATCTCTCCTGGAAAAGTTCTTCCTGAATGGACCTGAAGAATAAGCCATCACTATGAACACAACTTACACTACACAATGACTGCCAATATTAAAAATTTAAGTATGATTCATGAAAGCCTGCTTCCAGGTTAATTTACTTATACTCGGGGAAATATGTGCTTGGATAGAAAATCCTTAGGAATAGACTAAATGAAAGACTACCGGAAACTTGCCAAGTTGTTTCAGGACTTTTAAGAAAGGAGGAGTAAGACTTATAGGAAACATTTTTTAAAGGACAATTAAGTGGAATAAAACTAACATTTAAAAAAGCAGATTTTTTTTTTAAGTTGGGATACACTTGATTACTTGCTTTATTTATTTATTTAGCTGCAGTAGGGATTGAACCCAGGGTCACCTTACCCATTGGTACAACCCCAGGCGGCCCCCACAGCTGCCTTTTTTGAAACAAGGTCTCGTTAAATTACCCAGACAGGCCACAGACTTGGGATCCTCTTGCCTCAGCCTCCAAGTCGCTGGAATTACATAAGCCACCACAACAGACTTGATCAGTTGTTTTTCTAGGATTTTAAAATGTCTGATGTCTGGTGGAAACCATAAAATCATAAAAGCAGCGCATTCGCAGGATATTACTTCATCCGGGACTTACTCTGCACTTCATTCTTCATTTATTAAGTGAAAAGGCTGGAGAGATTACCCTTTAAAGCTTTCTTATACCCTCGATTTATGTATTCTAAGGAAAGGTAAACTCAGAAAAGCGTTCTATGCCGCGGACCAGCGTCTGTAACCCAAGAGTGTCCAGAAATGTTGCGAAGCGCCGAACCGAGGACACAGTGCCTCAGGAGGCCTTGAGACAAACTCGGAAAGTACAGCCCGGCTCAGCTTCGCTGCCGGGGACAGCTCCTTCATCCTCGGCTCAGATCTGTACAAGGGCCGGCAGAACGACCCTGAGGTATTGTATTAGATAGGCTCGCCACCCGGCCGCCGGCCGCCGAGGCGGAGGAGGTTCCGGCCTACGCAACAGCAGGAGCCGAGCTTGAGCCGCCCACGCCGAGGAAACGTAACAATCCCCCCATCCCAACTCCGCCACCTCTCCAGTTACTTCAGGAGCACACGTCTGCCCACCCTGCCCCCAGGGGGCCAGCAGAGGACGTCCTCCTCGGGAGCGAAGGGCTGAGTACTCGACACTCTACGACACCCAGAGCCCACCAATGGCAACTTACAAAGGCCCCTGCGTATGGAGGGCCGGCTGGCTCTGCCTGTGCGGGGCGCATTTCCGTGGCAGCTCTAGGAAGGGGCGAGAGGGGTTTTCACTCGATGGTTTCATCCCTTGCGCTCGCGGGAGCTAGGCTGGGTATTCTCAGAAGCTTGAATGGGTTTTTCTTCTTCCTTCCTTGTCTTTACTCGGCCATTGTCCCACTGACCCCCACCCTAGCGCTGATCCGCGCCTGCAGAGCCGATCTGAAGATAGGGATTCTCTCATTCTCCCCTCAAGTTTATTTCCGTTTCTGCATCACTGAGATTCCAGGTCCCTCAAAGGGATGTTCTGAAGTCCTTTCTGAATGAATGCTTCACAATAGTGAAGGGACCTCTGCCCAGATTTATGCCAACTTGCTGGGTTTTGATGACTTTTTCAACGTCAGCGATTCTCTCAAGCTCCCTTTTATGTGCTTACAATGTGATTACACATCTGAAAACATAAGTCGTTCAATTAAGTGTCAAAAAGATTACTTGGTAAATTCGCAGGATAGAAAATTAACAGTAGCTGAGCTCGGTGTCCTGGGCTTATAAGTTCCAGTGACTGAAGGCTGAGGGAGGAAGATCTCAAGTTTGAGGCCAGCCTCAGCAATACAGTTGAGACCAGTGTCTCAAAAATGAAAAAGGAAGGAAGGGAGGGAGAGAGGAAGGAAAAAGGATCCGGTTATAGCTCAGTGGAAAAGCATCTCTGGTTTCAATCTCTGTTAGGTGCAGGACAGGCTGAACTAAATTATCTTCAGGGCATGCCAAACAAAGTTAGCTGCAGGGTGACCTGACCACTCAAACCCTCTGTCTGGTTCTTTATCACCTGTTTGCTTCAAGCTCAAATACTCAAGCCCCTGCTCAACCCCCCCCCCTTCCCCAAAGCTGAACACTTAACCCGCCTTGTGCCAACAAGGCAGCTTGCAAACCCAGAGACCCTGTTAGATTTAGGCAGCACAGCAGAAGGGCTATAAAAACCTTCCCCTGCCACCACCCCTTTCTCTCTTTTTTCTCCTCGGTTGCACTGCTGCAATAAAGATCTTTTGGTTGCTCTGAGTGTTGTGGTCACTTTCCTTTCAATCTCCAGTACAAAAAAAAAAAAGCAAACAAAAACAGATAATTTATCAGGTAGAGTAGCAGTAATCCAGAAGTTTGACAGTATACAAACCAATGTTCATTAAAAGGGGACTGCATAGGTATATCGTAGTTTATTCAATTAGTCCCCTTTTAATGAACATTGGTTTGTTTCAAAATTGTACCTTGAATTCCTCAACAAATATTTTGGTCCATGTGTCTTTGAGATGGATTTATGTGAATTTGCTATATAGTATTACTTTCCTAGATTAAGGTCTCTATCATTTCGCATTTCCATCAGGTATGTATGGGAGTTTCTCTTTCTTTAAAAACAAAGTATACTGTCAAACTTCTGGATTACTGCTATGCCTATGCAGTCCAGTACTAGACAGCTATAAAATGATGAGAAATGTCAATACACTGCTATAAATTGATTGACAAGTATTTATAACATACTCTCTGTGTTAGACAAAATAATAATCTACCAAAGATGTCCATATCTTAATCCCCAAAACCTATGGATATTTATTTTGTATGACAAAGATGATATGTTAGAGATCTGTTGCAGTGTCAAAATCCTGAAATAATCAAGTTAAAAGGGGGGAAATATTTGCTTTGATTCACTATAGCAGAGGTTTCATAGTTGCTTGAAACCATTGTTTTGGGGCCTGTGCTAAGGAGGGAGGTATGTGGTAGAATACTTCATACCTCCCATAATGGCCAGGAAGCAGAGTGGAGGGGCCAGGGTCTTAATATCCCTTCAAAAGCACACTCCTCAAGGAAAGTTCATTATATTGAGCTCATTAAAATAATATAAAGTAATCAAATAAATAACCTAACATTATATCTCAAAGCCCAATAAAAAGAAAAACAAATCAACACCAAAAGCAGAAGACAGGAAATAATTAAAATCAGATTTGAAACCAATGAAATTGAAAGAAAAAAATCCAAAAAAAATCAATGAAACAAAAAGTTGGTTCTTTGAAAAAAATAAATAAAATTGATAAACTCTTAGCCAAGCTAATAAAGAGAAAGGAAACAAATTACTAAAATTCATAATGAAAAGGAAATATTACAACAGATACTACTGAAATACAGACAATAATCAGAAACTATTTTGAAAATTTATACTGTAATAAAATACAAAAAAACATTGAAGACAGTGACAAATTTCTGGAGACATATGACCTACCCAAATTAAACCAGGAGGACATAGAAAATTTAAACATATAAATTTCAAGCAATGAAACTGAAGATGCCATCAAAAGCCTACCAACCAAGAAAATCCCAGGACCAGACTGATTCTCAGTCAAGTTCTACAAAACCATCAGAAAAGAATTAACACCAATACTTCTCAAATTATTGCATGAAATAGAAAAGGAGGGAACCTTTCCAAACTTATTCTATGAGACTAGTATCACCCTGATACCAAAACCTGACAAAGACACATCAAGGAAAGAAAACTTCAGACCAATATCCCTGATAAATATAGATACAAAAATTCTCAATAAAATTCTGGAAAATCACAAAAAGCATATTGAAAAGATAGTGCACCATGGTCAAGTGGGGTTCATTCCAAACATGAAAGGTTGGTTCAACATATGGAAATTATTTAAGTTATTTATTTATTTATTTACTTACTTATTTATTTTTGGTACTGGGGATTGAACTCAGGGGCACTTGACCACTCTACCACATCCCCAGCCATATTTTGTATTTTATTTAGAGACAGGGTTTCACTGAGTTGCTTAACAGCTTGCTTTTGCAGAGGCTGCCTTTGAATTCCCAATCCTTCTACCTCAGCCTCCCAAGCCACTGAGATTACAGGTGTGCACCACCAGGTACAGCTAGAAATCAACAAACATAATTAATCACACATCAATAGACTTAAAGACAAGAAGCACATGATCATCTCAATTGATGCAGAAAAGCATTTGACAAAATACAGCTCCTCTTCACATTTAAAACACTAGAAAAACCAGGGATAGTAAGAACACACCTCAACACTGCAAAAGCTATCTATGCCAAACCCAAGGCCAACATTATTATAAACAGAAAAATTGAAAGAATTCCTTCGAAAAACAGGGTAAGACAGGGATGCTGTCTTTCACCACCTCTCTGCAACATTGTCCTTGAAACTCTAGCCAGAGCAATTAGACAGAAAAAAGAAATTAAAGGGCTATGAATAAGACGCCCTGAAACTGTCACTATTTGCTGATGCTGTGATTCTATATTTAGAGATTTTAAAAAACTCGACCAGAAAACTTCTAGAACTCATAAATGAATTCAGCAAAGTAGTAGGATATAAAGTTAACATCAACAAATCAAACACATTTCTATACGTCAGTGATGAATCCACTGAACAAGAAATTTGGAAAACTACCCCATTCACAATAGCCTCAAAAAAATAAAATATTTGGGCCTGGCTCAGTGGCACATGTCTGTAATACCAATGGCTTAGGAGGCGGAGGTAGAAGGATTGCAAGTTCAAAGCCAGCCTCAGCAAATGCAAGGTGCTAAGCAATTCAGTGAGATCCTGTCTCTAAATGAAATATAAAATAGGGTTGGGGATGTGGCTGGGTGGTTGGGTGCTCCTGAGTTTAATCCCTTGTACGCAAAAAATATATTTAAAAATTTTGGAATCAATCGGACAAAAGAACACTAAAGAAAGAAAATGAAGAAGAACTTAGAAGATGGTAAGATCTCCTATGTTCTTGGATAGGCAAAAGTAATATTGTCAAAATGGCCAAAATACCAAAAGCGTTATACTGATTTAATGCAATTCCTATTAACATTCCAATGATGTTCTTCACAGAAATAAAAAAGCAGTCATTAAATTCATTTGAAAAAAATAAGAGGCCCAGAATAGCCAGAGCAATCCTTAGCAAAAAAGGTGAAGCAGGAAGCATCACAGTACCAGATATTATAGTACACAGCTACAGTAACAAAAATGGCATGATATTGGCACCAAAGCAGACATGAAGATCACTGGAATAGAATAGAACACAAAGAAACAAACCTACATAAATGCAGTTACCTCATAGACAAGGCACCATAAACATACTTTGGAGAAAAGAGTACCTCTTCAACAAATGGTACTGGGAAAACTGAAAATCCATACATGACAAAATGAAATAAAACCCCTATTTCTCACCCTGCACAAAATTCAACTCAAAGTGGATCAAAGACTTAGGCATTAGAACAGAGACCCTGAGCTAACAGGCCCAAATATTCACCATGTCATTTTAGGAACTGTCTTCTTTAAGAAAACTCCTAAAGCACAAGAAGTAAAATCAAGAATCAATAATGGGATGGATTCAAACTGAAAAGCTGCTGCTCAGCAAGGGAAATAATTTAAAACATAAAGATAGAGCCTACAGAATGGGAGAAAATCTTTACTACATGCATGTCAGATGCATTAATCTCCAGGATATATAAAGAACTCAGAAAACTGAACACCAAAACAACAACAACAACAAACAACAAAAATAAAACAAATAAATGGGCTAAGGAACTGAACAGACATTTCACAGAAGAAAAAATACAATTAATCAACAAATATATGAAAAAATGCTCAACATCTCTAGCAACTAGAGAAATGCAAATTAAAGCTACTCTAAGATTTCATCTCACTCCAGTAAGAATGGCAATTGCCAAGAATAAAGAAACAATAAATGTTGGTGAGGATGTGGGGGAAAAGGTACACTGATACATTGCTAGTGGAACTAAAATTGGTACAATCACTTTGGAAAGTAGTATGGAGATTCCTCAGAAAACTTGGAATGAAACCACCATTTGAACCAATTATTCCACTCCTTGGTATACACCCAAAGGACTTAAAATCAGCATACTACACTGATGCAGCCACATCAATTCACAATAGCCAAGCTATGGAACCAACATAAGTGTTGAAGAACAGATGAATAGATGAATGGATAAAGAAAATGTGGTACATATACATAATGGAACATTACTCACCCTTAAAGAAGAATGAAATTATGGCATTAGCCTGTAAATGGATGGAACTGAAGACTATTATGCTAAGTGAAATAAGCCAATCCCCAAAAGTCAAAGGCCCTATGTTCCCTCTGATATGCAAATGCTTACTCACAATAAGTGGGGGTGGGGTAGGAGTGGAGGTTCACTGGATTAGACTGGGAGGAGTGGGGGGAAAGGAGCTGGAATGGGAATGGGAAAGACAGTAGAATGAATCATACATAACTTTCCAATGTTCAAAAATGAATATATGAGCAGTGTAACTCCACATCCTGTATGACCACAAGAATGTAATCCTAATAATTTAGAATAAGTTATACTCCATGCATGTAACTATGTCAAAAAAAAAAGGTTGGTTGTCAAGTATATGTAAAAGGAACAAATAATAATAAAAATAATCCAAATAGCCAAAACCACAGAAAAAGGTTGTTTCACACAAAAAAAGGAGTTTATTAGAAAGAGAAGGTAAATCATATATGAAAGACAACAAAAACCCAAGTGGGACCTACAGGTGTTTTTTTCAGGTAGTTAATGAATAGCCTCAAAGCCTGAAACGTCTTTAATTTACATAATTTTCAAGAGTTACAATGTTTTCCAAATTATCAGCAGCAAGAAGGGAGAGAAGAAGCAACTGATTTGATTACCTAAGATATTGAGTACATTGTTTAAAATATTTTCCTGTAATCTTTGCCAATTAAGCTTTTATGTTTTTTACCTCAATCACTAGGTGCTACGCAACTCAACTGTATGTCTCCTGACTTGTTATTAACCTTTAACTTTAAAGCATACCTATGATTATTGGTAAGCTTTCTTACTTCTAAACTAAAGTCCCAGTAAAACACACTTAAAATAGTGAAAGTCTATTACTTAAAGCCTACTACTTTAAAGTGCCTCTAAACTTTATCTATGTTAATTTTACATTATTCTATTTTTAATTTCCAAGGTAATTTCCTTTTTTCATATGACCTATTTAACTGCTTTCTTAAAGAGTTTCTTTGATCCTTGGTCAAAGTACACCAAGTCTTACATCTTTGTATTCTTTAACTAAAGAGAAGACTCTGCACCTCAACCCATTTGCCATTAATATTAATTATGTGTTTCCCATTTTCATTGTAAATTCCTTTGTAAGGCAAAGGAGAGTCTGTGGGTGGCATGTCTTAATTGTATCCTTAGTCTCATTCTGGGAATTTTCCTGAAATCTCAGGCAAGATGTACTTTTATTATTGATTGATGTATGCCCTGTTATCCATATCATAAGTATCATAAACAAAACACTTAATATTCCCCATGGGTTCCGGTTTCCAGATGGTACCGCCTTGCCTTGCTGCAGCATCCCCCACATGTGACCCTGTCAAAAAGCTGGTGCAGGAATGCCTTCGCCATTCAAGGACAGACAGCCTGAGCAAAAGAATCAGACTCCATCTTAATCAACAACAAATAAAGCACACTTTTGAGATTTTTCTTGAAGGAACCTGAGAAAAAGATCAGACCAATGCTTCCCTCCCTCCCTCCCTCCCTCTCTGCCCCCTCTTCATTTTTGCAGTACTGAGTATTGAACCCAGGGCCTCGCACATGCTAGGCAGCAAGCAGTAAACCACCAAGTCTTGTTCCCAGCCCAGACAAAATTTTCTCAAGTTTTAAAGTACATAACAATCAACTGTGGATCTTGTTAAAATGCAGATTCTCAGTTGATGCCAGAGTTGCTGGTCTTCAGACCTCTTTGAGTAACAAGGGTCTAAATGTGTTGAAGAAAGATGGTTAACAAATATTCTGCTCATGATTATAGTTAATATCTGAGTAAGTTTTCCTGCATGGATAATTTGGGGCTTAATAGTAGATATATGTTAGGAAATTACCATGTTCATGTGTGAATCAATAACACTTGGAATAACTGCTGAAAATGTCTCTTAAATTTTTTGAGAATTCTGAGGGCTTATAAGAAATGTGGGGCTGGGGTTGTGCCTCAGTGGTAGAGTGTTCACCTGGCACATGTGAGGCATTGGCTCTGATCCTGGGCACCACATAAAGGCATTGTGGCCGTCTACAACTAAAAACAATAAAAATTTTTAAATGTGGATAATTTTCTTTCCCTCAATACAATTCTAGAAGGGGATAACAATTGCTTTAAGTCTGAGGACTTCTGATATTAAAGTCCATATATATTCAGTAGAAAGACTGGGGTTCAGAGTACTAGTATTTGTTAATTTCTGCCTCTTGGGTATGTATGTACATATCTATCTTTTTAACTATCTCAATTTCCTATGAGCAAAATGGAATACCTGTTCTATTTACATTAAAACAATGAGAATTAAAATTTAACATACATGAAAGTGCTTTTTCAAGGCTGCTAGAAGTGGGAGATGGTATAATAGTGAAGAATGCAGACTCTGGAATCAGATCTGCCTCATCTCTGTACAGCTGTGTAATATTTATATCTTCTTCTGTCTTTACTGAGAAATAAACATATCAGCATGCCCTTGAAAAAATTTGTAGTAACCATTTAGGGAAATTTCTGACTTGATGATTTTGAATATTAAAACACATTATCTTCTTCAGAACTTATAATTTTGCATTTACATAGAAATATAGGATTCTATTTATGAAAAGAGTCTATTAATTTTTATTGCTGATGTAACAAAGTACTACCAGTTCAATGCAATACAAATTTATTATACTACAGTTCCAGAGTTGGAAGGCCAAAAATGGGTGTTACAGGGGAATACAATCAACATGTCAGGTGCTTTCTAGGAGAGCGCCTTTTCCAGATATTATAGATTGACTCCACTCCTTGGCTTGTATCACCTTCCAGCAATGGACCCACTCTGACCTCAGCTTCTACTGTCACATCTCCTTCAAGCTCAGACCTCCTGCTTCCCTTTTGTAAAGACTTTGTGATTAAACAATGTCTACACCAATATTCTAGAATAAACTTTGCTATTTCAAGATACTCAGTTACATTTACTAAGTCTCTTTTTCCACTTAACATACTCACAGGTGCTGGAGATTAGGAGGAGGATATATTAGGATGAGATTAGAATGGGGCCTATTGTTCTTACTAGGATGAATTATCCAGATTTCCAAATAAGAAAAGAAACTGAAGATAGTGCTCTCAACCAGGCTTTTATGCTCTTGAGAATCCAAGAAATTGGCAGTTTTTAATTGTAGTTAAAAGTGGCCCCTTAGAACTTTTAATGAGGCTGGAAGTATAGATGAATGAGATAAAAATAACTTCAAAATTGAGTTTTCACCTACAAATGTATGTATAGATGAATAACTGCCAGATTATAAACTGTGTAACAGTAATGAGAAGCAAGCATTTTTAACGCATCTAACAGGTAAGATGTGTTTAATAAATGTTTTTTGGATAAAATCAAATATAACTTTGTCAAATATAACACTGCTTGAGTTAAAAACAAAAGTTAGGGCTGGGGTTGTAGTTAAGCACTTGCCTCACATGTGTGAGGCACTGGGTTCAATCCTTAACACCCATTAAAAAAAATAAAGCAAATAAAGATATTGTGTCCATCTACAACTTAAATTTTTTTTTAACTTAAAAACAGAATTGCCACACCAATGAATTTTGGATTATAATGTACTTGCCTCTTCCAGAACCTGGGTTACAGAATTAGAGATAAGAATGTTGGCATTGGAGTCAACTCAAGCTCCACACTTGTGACAAAAACTTCTCTTCAGTTTTCTCAGCTACAAAATTGAAATGATGATAGGATGTACCTCACAGATTCACTGTAAACTGAAAGGCATAAGAAGCACTCAATGTGGTAAACTAAACCACATGATATAAGCAATTAGTCAAGTTTTTGAACAATTTTAATACAAGGAAGTGAAAAAGGAAAGAATCATAGTCAAAGTTAAATTATATGCTTAGAAAAACAGATGAAAAGCTGAATAGGCATTGAAAATCAATTGAAAGGCAATGACTTTTTTTTTAGCAGTAAAGTTCATTAGGAAAAAATGCAAAATGACACCAATATTTTCTATGTGTACCTCTTTTACTTTGGTTCTTTGGTTCCTGAATGAAACCAGTTATTGAAAATCTATAGGGAGAAATGTTTCTGCATTTATATCTGTGTGCCCCATTCTATAAGGTTAAAAGGCAGATTACAGATTTTAATACTATTATTTTAAAATTAATTTGTAAATATTCAGTTAATTGATTCAAATTATTTTATACTCAGACTGCATATGATTTTTGGATGAAGTAGTTTTCCTAAAGTATACCCAGAAAACTTCTTATACAAGTATATGACACTAGAGCTAAAGTATATATTATTATGAAGCCAACACAAACAGCAATATTCAGCATTGCAAAGCTGTATATGTCACTGTCAATAGAGAACTTCACAGATGTGTTTAAGATATTAGTATGCTTCTTTCAGTAGAAAAATAAGGGCATGTTCACTGGCTTTCCCTTATAACTTTCTATGTTAAATGATTAAACTGTTATTGTTCTCTCAGGGACAAAATAAGAAATAGTACCCTTGCTACCTTACTTAGTGGTATGACTTCAGGAAATTTTGCCTTCCCTATTCCAAGAAGCTACCTCAGTTCAGTGATAGGGTGGACTTTCCGATGCTGTATGAGGTTGCAATGGTAAATGAAGTTCTTGCCACACTCTTCACATTCATAAGGTCTCTCTCCAGTGTGAATTCTCTGATGCTTAGTGAGGACAGAACGTCGACTAAAATTCTTGCTGCACTGATTGCACTGATAAGGCTTTTCTCCAGTGTGGATTCTGAGGTGATGGAAAAGCCCAGCATTCTGGCTGAAGGCTTTACCACAGACACTGCACTGGTAGCGCTTCTCCCCAGTGTGAAGTCTCTGGTGCTGGAACAGGCCTGATCGCTGGCTAAAGGCCCTCCCGCACTCATCACATTCATAGGGTTTCTCACCTGTGTGTGTCCTCTGGTGCTCGATAAGGATAGAATTCTGGGTAAAGCTTTTTCCACATTCACCACAGATATAGGGTCTCTCTATTGAAGAGTTTACCCGTTGCTTTTCCAATTTGCCCTCGTGGTCACAGGTGTCTCTACATTCTGACACTTTAGTAACATCACTGTTCAGTTTTCCAGGTACTTCTATGAGAGATTTCATTTCTTTAGAAATTTCTTTTGCGGAAGCTAACTCCACATTCCAGTTACCAGCCTTACCATCTGAAATAATAAATGGATTACATGAATGTTATTTTTCTAAGGACAAAAGAAAAAAGTAACCAGAAGAGTAAGTGGAAGGGAACAAGTAATCACTTTTTCTGTTTACTTTCCCACTCTAAAACACTTATTCCTGAACCTCTGGGAGAAGATTCATGTGTTATAACTGCTTAATTATTTAATTGCTTCTAAAACCAGATAGTAAGCTTCCTGAAAGTGGGGACCATGTTTGCCTTGTTCATCACACTGTTTCCCCAGTACCTGGCGTCATGCTTGGCATATAGAAGACACTGTGTAAATATGTTGGCTTGATGGACAGCCAGGAAATAAGGCAGGGTCCCTAAGGTAATGCTAATCCTCACCAATGTCTTGAACCCGGCACGCCTCTGGTAAGTTACACTGCAGCTGCTTTTCCAAGATTTGGAATTGGCCACTTGATGACTCCTGGGCTGCTCCTTGAGTTGCCTTCTCTGTTACAAATATTTCCTGTTTATGAGCATGACTTGGGACCTGGTGGAAATTAAGAACAGTTGAGAATAAGGTATCAGAGAAGACACTGCCTTCTTCTCAGAGCTTCTCAGTAGAAAAAGAACCAAAAAATTGGCAAAGAAAAAAAAAAGAGAGAGAGAAGAGAGATTAAGAGCCTAAAACAGACTGAGTCAGGCATAAAGAAATCTTTCTCCTCCTTACTTCTTCTTGTTGCAATAAACCCCTTATTTGTTCCTATAGATACAAACCTCTGTTCTCCCTCTCTTCCCACCTGCTCTCCTGGTTCATCCAGCTCTCTCTCCAAATCCTCCAGCACAGCCACTGCCTCATCTCCATTCATAGGGCGGTGCTCTCTCACCCAGGCCTGCAGGTCATCAGGCAGGATTGTTAGAAACTGCTCCAGCACCAGCAGCTCCAGGATCTGCTCCTTGCTGTGCATCTCAGGCCGCAGCCACTGATGGCAGAGCTCCTGGAGTCTTTGAAGAGCTTCCCGGGGACCAGTGGTCTCCTGATAACAGAACTGCCTGAAGCGTCTACGGAAGAACTCTCTGGTATGAAGGTTACTTCTTGACAGGCCAGATTTTCGCCCACAGGCACGGTCCTTCTCTTCTTCCTTTACCTTCACTGCCAGAAGTCCTCCCTGGATCAACTCAGTCTGAAGAGCCAAGGTTGTGGCCATTTTATTTTTTACTATTCAAAAAAGAAGCTGTTCTTGATAATTCCCCTTTAATCTTTTCTTCTGGAAATACTGAGATAGATCTAAAATATAATTCAGAGAAAAAATATAAAAATGCAGAAAACCTAGTGACAGCCAGGCACTGGGAGTATTTATATTCAAAAAGTCACTTTGGTTCATGAAGAAAGAACACCGAATGCATAAAGGTAAAAACCATGCAAATACTAAGCAGGTGAAAGGGAAAAGCTTCCCCAGTTTATTAAGGAAGGCACCATTTTTTTTAAAGAGAGAGAGAGAATTTTTAATGTTTATTTTTTAGTTATTGGTGGACACAACATCTTTGTTTGTATGTGGTGGTGAGGATCAAACCCAGGCTGCACGCATGCCAGGCGAGCGCGCTATGGCTTGAGCCACATTCCCAGTCCGGGAAGGCACCATTTTGATCATCCTTAATGAAACAGTTCAAATCAGCTTTAGTACAGTGGGGTTTTATTTGAATGGCAATATACTAGATTCATTGTGAATTTTTAGTCAAATGAAGGTAAACAAATGCTTTGGGCCCAAGTGGTCCCAGATGACACTAAGAATCAAAAAGAAAAGGGACAAAATGGAGGATGGAGGTTAAAATAAAGAAGATAAAATGAGGGCTGGGGCTGTAGCTCGTGGCAGAGTGCTTGCATAGCATGTGTGAAACACTCAGTTCAATACTTAGCACTGCATAAAAAATAAATAAGGATAATTATTTTTAAAAAGAAGGTAAAAAGAATGAGAAGCAAAATAAATACATTTGGAGAGGAGAGGCAGAGTCCCTCTAGTCAGGTGAGATATGGAGGAAAAAGGTCTTTCTGCCTAAACTTTTCATACATACTTATTCACTTAGCAAATATTTATTCAGAGTCAATACTATATTCCAAGTAGTGTTCTAGGCATGAGAATACAGTTATAAGCAAAACAAAGTCCATAGTCTCATGAAATTTGCATTCTAATAACAATAATATCTGACATTTTTAGTGCTTTTAATGTACCAGTCATTCTCCTAGATGCTTTAAATTAGTCCACTTAATCCTCAGAACAAATGAGTAAGGTACCATTATTACGTCTATATTGCAGACGAGAAAATTGAGACACAAAGAGTTTAAGTTACTTGTCCACAGTTTCATGGGTAGTAAGTGGTGAAAGCCACAATTCAAACCCAATAAAGGAGACTTCAGAATTCTTAGTCTCAGTCACTGTCTCTACACCACTGTCTCTATCAACTGTTGATATTATCTATATGTGGGGGAAAGGAGGAGACAAGAGCAGAAAAAAGAACCATGAGAGACATACAATAATGAAAAATATATAAAGCAGTGAAAAACATTTTGAGAAAATGAAGGTAAATGATGTAGGGAGTAGGGGTGAAGAAAGATTGCTATTTTATATGTGGTGATCTAGGAAGGCTCTGTGGATAATAACTGAGCAGAAGTGAGAAGCAAGTCATGTCTATCTGGAGAAAGATTGTACCATGCAAAAGAACACTTGAGTACAAATTCTTGGATGTGGGAACATGCTTGGATTTTTCAAGGAACAGCTAGTTGAACAGTGATTGGAACAGAGAAAGCAAAAGGAAAATGGCAGGAGATAAAGCAGGGAGGAAGGAAACATCCTCTCTGAAGTGTTCATCCATTTCAGCCTACCCTATTCCTCATCCTATCCTTATATTATGTACTATATGAGTCACATCATTTACCATCAGTCATAATCTATCTTATACTGTTACTTTTCTTCACAATTATTTTTTAATAGAGAGGAATATAAAATTCCTTCAAGTTCTACTCCCCAGAAATATGTAATTTAAAAATTGGAATGTAACTTTTAGATATTTCCTGTACATTTGTAATATCTCACATACAGTTGATATAAGCCCACAGTTTTCCTATTTATCTGGAAATAAGCAGAAGGTAATGTGAGATGGTGGACACAAGCAGATCTGGTTGTGAATTCTAACTAGCCTTGGGCACGTTAAATTTTTTGAGCCCCAATCTCATGTGTGAAATGAAATATTGTATATAAAAGGGTTTTGCACACACAGAGCATGACAAACAATAAATATGCAAATTAACCCTTTAATAAGATGACCAACAATTTTGGTACAATGGTGCTTAATCAATAGTGGTTACCCTTAGGGCCAAGACTAAACTTTTTCTGTGGCCAAAGAAGATTGCTGGGCAAGTGGGAAACGCATGTGTACACACAAATAAAATGGCTGTTTCATCAGGTTTCCAGACACTCTGACCTTCTTCAGATATATTCAATATATCTTCAGATATATTCTCTAACCTTAAATCTTTACTAGAAGTGCAGGACTACCAAGGTCCAAAAGAGAGAAGACCAGATTAAATGAGAGAAGCAACCTCATGAGTTGTGGCTGTAAGGATAACACAGAAATAGCAAATAGAGTCAGCATAGCAAACATTTTAAGCAGATTCTGAGCCAAACTGCCTAGATATGAATCCTGAATACACACACCCCTTACCAGCTGTACGACCTTGAGCAAATTATTTAACCTCATTTTATTCATGAATTAAAAAAAAAGCAGGGTGGGGGGAATCTACATAATATTAGTGCTTATTATATAAAATTATGAGAATATTTGGAAAGTGCTTAGAACAGTGCTTGACCAGCGCATAGTAAATGCTATTTAAATACTCATTTTTTTAAAAAACATTAAAAGCCTTTATACTATGTGAATCAGACTAATACACTATGTGAATCGGAGGCTCTGACCTATTTTTAAAAACTATCCTAGTTCGTTGTTAAAAATAAGTCGATAGAGAGAATGACAGACATCGGAAAATACATTCCTCTATATCCGAATGTATCTGGATCCTAAGCTGCAGCTGGGGACGGTTCGGAGCGGCACCAATACTAGGACAGAGGTTGAAGGGCTCCGGCATAGCCTAAGGACGTGGAGGGCAAAGACGTTGACTTCAATCAAGCAGCTCTGGAGCAACCTCTTCTGCCCCTCACTTGCATGGCTAATCTCTAGCAAGAAGCCCCCTCCACCTTCTCCCCACACCCGGTCCGGAGTCGCAGCGCCAAACCCGCCCTTCCGAGGCTCTCAGCAGTAGTCCCCATCCGAAGCTCACCGAGGCATCTGTGAGAGAAGATGCCACCCAGCCCAGATCGCACCACCTCAGAAACCTAGACAACAGCAGCCGAGAAAAAGAAAAACTACAAAGACCGGAAGTGCGTCAAGGTGGCTGGCTCTTTGTGAAACAGCTGTTCTGGCTGCGTTCCTTCTAGGAAGCTCGGAGGTTTCCACGCATCTGTGATCGCCTTGCTGAAAGCCCTCTCTTCCAACCTGCAATGTGATGACAGCTGGCATATACTGCTTTACACATACTAATTCATTTACTGTGAATTACAACCTGTGAATTATCCTCATCTAACAGATGGGGAAACCAAAGCACATTCCTTCAACATTATTGCCAATCTCCTGCAAACCAAACCGTCCCTTTTCCCTGCCCTTCCTCATGTTATAATGAATCTATGCTTAAAATTCTCTTAAAATTCATTGCTATTAACAATTACTCCTATTATTTAATGTTTAATTTATTTCAAATGTGGTCCATTTCAGAGACCTTTAAAATTAGTTTTTATGTCCTTCGATAAGTTTTTGTGCGCTTCACTTTCTCACACAAGAGATTCCAGCTTCATTTTACACTTTCCTGCTTCAGACCAAGAATCCATGAAGCTATGACTCCTTTAAGAATGGGAAACAGAAACCCAAGATCCAGGTTTGGGGCAAAAACTCATTGCTACTGGAATATATCATTGCTTGTAGGCCCTGTTTGTGGATAAGAGCTAAGGGACAAGATTAAATGTCTTTTTCTGAGGGATTTTATAGGATATTTTCTATATACAAATCCAAAGATTTTTTTTTCATTTTAACCATTACATATTTGCTTTTTCTTTACCCACACTGAAAAATCTTGACCCCCACAGCCTCAATATATTCACTCAATTTTCTCTATTTTATAAACAAAGTAGTTTCAAAATTACAATAGCAGTATCACTAGCAACAATATACAAACTATGTACAGTCCCCAGAAAATGTGTATTTTATTTTTTCTTGAGTTATATTTCTAAGGGACTATAGTGAGAATATTGTACATATACCTTATTTAATTATTTTCTCTGTTTGGTTATATTACAAACTGGATATATATTTAGGATCATTTGTTTCTGTTTGTGTTTAATTTCAGGGTTTGCTTTTCTAAATAGACTAAAATTATGTTTCTATTTATTACCAATCTCTCTAAATAGATAAAGTGAAGAAATAATTCTTAAATTATGAATGGAGGATTGTAGGGGATTTTTTCTCTTTAAAGAAATCCTTTGAAACATACCTGTAGTTTCATCAATTTGGGAAATTGAGGCAGGAGGACTGTGAAGGAAAAGAGTGATTTAGCAAGATTCTGTGTCAAAAATAAAATAATTAATTAATTAAAAGGATCAGGGATGCAGCTCAATAGTACAACACCCCTGGATTCAACCCCTAGTACCATACCATTTTAAAATAAGAATTCCGCTGCCTTTTCCCACAACACTTTTCAATATGATGATTACTATTATTATTGAAATAAATTTGGCAAGTTAAGAGTTCTCTGAATCAGTGTGCTTAGAATTAAACCCAGGACCATTCCACCTTTGAGCTTGAGTTGTTGGAATTACAGAATATGCTTCAAAGGATTTTGTTAAGAGAAAAAAAAAATCCCCTAAAATCCTCAGCTTCCTGAATAGCTGGAGTTACAGGTATATTTGAAAGTCCTGGCAGTTTTTTTCTTGTGTCCCACTTCCTTTCCTTCTCCTTGCTTTATTCCCATCCTGGTCTCAACATCCTTTTACCTCTTATTCTTTCATTTATCTGTCCATTTATCTTATCTTTCAGCACCCACTTGAGAATTGATACCTGTACCCCAGAACTTGAAATGTCATATCTTTTTTAGGAGTATGGAAAAAAACTGCCTACTAAATAATTATTTTCCCTTTCATCAAATAACAGACTTTTTATCTAGGTATATTGACTCCTGGAATAAAGATTACATTTCTCAGCTATCCTTGCAACCAAGTATGATCATGTGACTAAATTCTGACTAATTAGATACAAGAAAAAAAAACTGTTCATTCTTAGGAGTTTCCTTGGAAAAAATGCTGGCTTAGCAAGGCACAGTAGCCTGTGTCTATAATCCCAGGTACTTGGGAGAGTGATGGGGAGATTCTCTTGAGCCAAAGTTTGAGGCCAGCCAGTCTGGGCAATATAGGAATCCCCCATATCAAGAAAAAAAGCTTACTTAACTAGGATAATCCTTCTTTTCTACTTTTCTACAGGCTAAAATACAGAAATTATGGCCAGAGCTTCAACAACCATGTGAAAAGAAACTGTATGCAGAGAACAAGGACAAGGTCAGAATTGGATTCCACGGAGCAAAAGCAACTACTCTATAAACTTTGCTTTTATGCCTCTTTTACATGACAAGCACTACAAATTGTGTATTTTTTCAGACCTTTGATATTAATAGTTAATTATAAGTTCTGATATACAGTTTCCTACATTTTGAGTCTCTATTTAAGATTTTCTTTCCCTTTTGTAAAAAAGTGTGACCCCCATCTCTGATTAAACCCAGTATCTGTTTCCTTCCCACAGCACTGATGTCTAGGAAATATAAGTTTGGAGGTAAGAGGGAAGGGAATTAAAAATAAATTATGTTTACAACAATAGTATAAATGTTGGTAGTCACAAAAAAAAGGAAGAGGTTTCCCCAAGAGACAAAAGGAAAGAGAGATGAAGAGAATGGAGAAAAAGTGCAGAAAAGGGGGAAGAGAAAACTCAGGCAAGATTGATATTGTACATGAACTCAAGCAAGATTGATATTGCATTAGGTGGTTCACCTGACATTCAGTAATTCATAATGTTCAAAACATTATATTGAGCTGGGCATGGCAGCACATGCCTGTAATCCCAGAGGCTCAGAAAGCTGAGGCAGGAGGATCACAAATTCAAAACCAGCCTCAACAACTTAGTGAGGCCCTAAGCAACTTATCAAGACCCTGTCTCCAAGTAAAATATATAAAAAGGGTAGGGATATGGCTCAGTGGTTAAGCACTCCTGAGTTCAATCTCCAGTACCAAACAAACAAACAAAACCCCACTATATTGTCATCAGAGTCTTACGTGTCCATAGCTTGAGCTACCCTTGTAGGGTGTTCCATTTGGAGGGTTAAGCTCTCACTTAGAAGCCTGAGTGAAGTTCAACATCTGTCCACTTATAAATACACCAGCTAATCTCATCAAAAGGACAGTACTATTTTTAACATTCCAATACCAGACTCAACAGAAATAACAGTGAATGTCCCTGAAATAAATCTTTTTTCCTAATACTGAAGGAGGATATTTCTCTGGTTCACTTGTGGCTTTTCCTGATTTGAGCCCTGCTGCCTGTCCTCTAATCCAGTGGAATTTCTAGGTTACTTTTTAGGATTTTTTTTGGTCACACTTCACTTTTTGTTTCAGCTCCAACTGAATTTTCTCTGCATGGCCATAAAATAAAGGTACCTAGCTGAGCAGAGTGGCTTGCACCTATAGTGTCAACCACTCTGGAGGCTGCGACATGAGGATCATTTCAGCACAAGAATAAGAGACCAGCCTGGATACCATAGAAAGTTTCCATCTAAAAAATAAATAAAAGTGCCTGAACAAGGAGCACTTCTTAGGATTATCCTACTTGGATGTATAGCACACAATGATATCAGCAATTTAGAGAATCCTCTGGAAAGAAGCTCTCTCTGTCTCCCCTTATAGTCTGGCATATATCTGGAACAACATCACAGGCTACCTCCTCAGGTAGGGTGACCAATGCCTTTTTGAGCATTAGCCTTTTTTCAATATCTCCAGAGAGGGAATTGTTCTTCTCTTCCTCAAGTAGTAATATCTAATTTTTAGAAAGCAAACCCATTGTCACTAGATTAAATGAAAGCATACAAGCAAAGCTTCCCAGGCTCTTAAAGATAGGTGCCCACTGGTCACTAATATTTATTCCAAGGCCATTTTTAGTGACATATTAGGGACAGTATTACATCACCTCTCGGAGACTCAGCATTCAGAAGGCTTGTTTATTCTAAAAGGGATTACAGTAAGAAATATATAAAAGCTAGTTGCTGGTACAACAAAGAAGACATTCATGATGTAAGGAATGAAGAACAGAAGATAAAGACATAAAAACTCAAGGTGGCAAGGGAATGTAAGATCAAGATAATAGGAACAGAGAGCACTTGGATGATGATAAGGGGAAATAACACTGAAAATACTGGCACCAATTTGTGAAGCAGGCTCTTGAATGTCAGGCTAAGATAGTAAACACAGAGGTGTGACAGCATTTAAAAAATACTTAATTGTAGAAGCAAAAAGGACTGTAGAGTTATTACATATTCTAATTCCAAAACTCACAGAGAAGAGTCATCTAAGACTAAAAAAATGTGGATGATTTTCCTAAAATCACACAGTGACTTTAGAGGCTGGGTAAGTACTATGTTGTTACCAAAGGTTTTACCACAGTTGTTGCACTCAGAGGGTTCCTCCCCAGTGTGATTTCTCTAATTTTCATAAGGACTGAGTCTTGACTAAAACTTACGCCACCATCATTATACTGATAAGATTTTTTTTATTTATATTCAGTGGGGTGGTTATGTGAAGAGATTTTCACACTTATTACATATATAGGATTTTTTCTTTATTCATACCAGTATGAATAGGGAGATGTTAAAAAAGGGTTGAGTTTTGACTAAAGGCTCTGCCACATTCTATACTGTTTAGATAATGTAGATGCTACACATGAAGCTTTTCCCACATTGATCACATCCGTGTTCTTTTCATTCCTCTGAACTTCCTTGATGCCTCTTAAACCTGCCTTTGCATTCATGAAAGTCTGCAAAATGGTTGGCTTGGAGAATGCTCTTGCCTCTACAGATTCTACTGAATCTCATCCTCTGTGACTCCACTCCTTGGGCTGCTTCCTGCTTTGGAGCTCATTTTCCAGGAAATAAATCATGCAATTGTCACTTTCTTTTTAAACTTTTCATTATGAAAAATCATAAACATATGTAAAAGTAAACCGAATTAAAATGTCACCTTTATGAACTGATGAAAGATTAAACTCCCAAGATATCATTTCTTTT